AAAGAAGACGGGAGGACAAGAAAAGGACAAAAGGACAAGAAAGAAGGTGCTGAGGGACAAGAGAAAAAAAAAAAATCTACTTTTAGCAATGCCAGAAAGTCCCCCTTATCAGCTAGCCTCTTTGCTGTGTTGCATGGCTGCAGGTAGAGCCCAGGCCCTCACACAAGCTAGCAGCAGCTGCAGCCTGTAAGCTGTATTTCTAACCCCGTTTTTTTTTTGTGTGTGTGTGTCTGTGTGTTTGTTTGTTTGTTTGTTTTGGGGGGGGGGTTTCGAGACAGGGTTTCTCTGTAGATTTGGAGGCTGTCCTGGAACTAGTTCTTGTAGACCAGGCTGGTCTCGAATTCACAGATATCCTCCTGCCTCTGCCTCCTGAGTGCTGGGACTAAAGGTGTGCGCCACCACTGCCCGGCAAGCCCTGCTGTTCTATATTCCTTATATGACTCATTGAGTGAAGGTACTTGCTGCCACAGTTGGATCCCTGGACCCATATGGTGGGGACAAGTGACTCCCACAAGATGTCTTTGACCCGGAATACACTCATGCACGCACACACCTTGTAAAAAATAGTCCAAGAACTAGAATAAATAACAAATCGTCATATAGAGCAGTGACTAGTCAAGAATTTCTGGTGGGGCCTCTAGCAGGAAACACATGGACAGGTACAGGCTTGGATAATGAAACGGAGGTGACAGGCTTAGGAAGAGTCAGGGACAGGAAGAACAGATGACAATGCTGGCAAATGACAACAATGTACACAGGCAGGTATCTTCCTACAGGAAGACAGTATGGTTTCTCATTTTGAGAAGTGAATAGAACAAGTCGATTCCAAGGATCATTGCGATAGTTGGCAAAGTGTTGGGGCAGAGACAGTCACTACTTTGTGAGCCCACAAGGCCATATGACTACCCCACAGGGCAGTGAGGTGGGTGTCCCTTTGTCTAGGTTTATTACATATAATTAATGTTTTCCATTACTAAAACACAACACCAGAGGCTGGCTACTTTATTTTAGTTTTTGAGACATGGTTTCTCTGTGTAACAGCCCTGGCTGTCCTGGAACTCACTCTGTAAACCAGGCTGGCCTTGAACTCACAGAGATCCACCTGCCTCTTCCTCCCAAGTGCTGGGATTAAAGGTGTGTGCCACCACCTGGATAAAAGCTGACTACTTTATACTGAGTTCTTATCTCAATAGTTCTATAGGTTCAACTTCACAGTGCTGGCACAGGGTAGGCTCTGGTGAGGGCCCCTACCTTTGGAGATGATAGGAACATGTGTGAGAGGTCACATGGCCAAGGGGCAGATGAAAAGGCTAGGAAGGGGATAGGCTAAGAACTCTCTCTTGAGTACCAGCCAGGGTTTCACAAGAACAGCATTAATCTCTTCAGGGGCAGTGTCCTCAGGGACCTAACCCCTCCTACCTGACCCCATTTCTGAGAGGTTCTACCAACTATCAACACTGCCACATTGGGGACTAAGCTGCAACACATGAATCCTTGGGGTACACACTCCAACTGGTGTCCCCAGTGTGAAGTTCAGTAATGTGTATGATCTTAAGCACCCACAAAATGTCCTGAGCATCCTGTGTCCCCCACGTCTCAAGGAATCCTGAAAACTAGGGAAACCCCTGGCTCCAATGGCAGAGACAGAAAACATGCATGCTTGGCATCTCCAGGCACAACTCTGAAGGCTCCAAATGCAAACATAATTCAAGAATCAGAAGAGGGACACTCAGCAATGTTTATACCTTTTCTGATAGGAAAGACTTGTCTTCCAAAATTCCTTTGAGAACACTGTCCCCACCTTGGGAAATGGCAGACTCAGGCAGTGAAGCCACTGCTCATTTCCTCGGCTCACACTCCTCTACTGACTTGGGATGGAATGTCTAGTTACGGTGAGCTGGTCAATGAATAGAAATCCGGCATATTCCTCCCTTCCCCTGTCCCACTTTCCCACAGTCAACAGCCTGGGAATAAATATAGGCCTTTCCTGGGGAAGGGAGGTACCGTTATGAATAGGCCCATGTTTGTAAACAGGCAAGTGACCTTATATACCAGCTCTGCGTGGAATGCAGTCTGTTACGGGCATCGTTCCCCAGAGCGAGGCTTACAGGACAAAACTGAGGGGATTCTGGCTTCTGTCACCATTCCCTTCTCGCCCTGCCATAGTCTATAAATCACTTCTGGCAAGTAGCCGGGAAGCAGCTGCAAATTACAGTTTTGCTCTGGATCGCAGGAAACCACCTTTAACCTCCCCACTGTTGTCTGTCTCCCCAAACGTGACAAAGGAACAGATGCAAGCACAAGCCAACTGTTGAGAGAGAGGATCTGCTCACCACTGCACTGGAGGAAGCCTGTTCAGCTCCATCTACCAGCCGCTCCAAGGAAGAATGAGTGAGTTCCTTTCCTGACGTTCCCACTACACAGTGTTTCTGCATATCTGGACCACGATGCTCCATAGTGCCCCACTCCTCTCTCAGCCTTCGTCCCAGAGCTCCCTAGACTAGTTCTCTTTCCAAATCCCTGTGCAGATGTCAGTGAAAGGATACCCCTCGAAATGAGGTGTTTTCTGACCCCCTGCCTCATGTGTAGATAGCTACCTGCCACTGCCTGCCTCTGCCCATTTTTAGGCTTCCTGAGGATCAAACTCATTTCTGCAAGCCTGGACATTGGTTCTGTAGTCTTCGGCATGTGGGCTTACACACCTGTATAGTTTCAAAGTAATGTCTTTCACAGCAATGGCCGCAAACCGTTAAGTGCAGAGAAACAAATTTAATCAATTACTCCCCGCATTTTAAAATGTGAAATTCAAACAAACAAAGAACAGCTTACAAGCCTGGCGGTGGTGGTGTACGCCTTTAATTCCAGCACTTGGGAGGCAGAGGCAGGTAGATCTCTGTGAGTTCAAGACCAGTCTGGTCTACAAGAGCTAGTTCCAGGACAGCCTCCAAAGCCACAAGAAACCCTGTCTTGAAACACCCTCCCCCCCCAAAAAAAAAGCTTATAAAAGGCAGTCTTGGGTGCATATTGGTAATTACATGGGAGATCTCAGACAATGTCATGAAATTTTAGTGCTCTGTGTGGAGGAAGCCTTATTATATTTAAATACCAACTCAGCTAAAGGTACTGAGATTCCCTATATATTCTTTACCTCAAACTATGCAGCTCTCCTATGAGCCATGTCACTCACCAGACTGTGTATTTGTGAAAAATCAATAAACCATCCAGGTGTGCTGGTGTGCTCAATTAATCTCAGCACTAGGGAGGCAGAGACAGATGAATCTGTGTGAATTCAAGGCTAGCCTTGTCTACAAAACAAGTTCCAGGTCAGTCAGGGCTACACAGTGAAACTAAAACAAAACAACAACAACAAAAAAAAAATCAAAGAACTCATACCCACATTTCCCCCTGACTCTCAGTTTTCCCTATGCTTCAGTGTAGTTGCTACACAGTGTTTACTATTAGAGCATCAGAATAGATTGGCTAACCTCAAAGTCCTCTGTGAATACTCTTTATTATTCTTTAAGGGGATGCATGATAAAGACATTAGAGATGGTTCAGTGAGTAAGAGATCTGCTCTTCCAGAAGAAGGGATTGTGTTTCCCAGCATCCACATTAGGTGACTCACAACCACTCTAACTACAGCTCGAGGTGATAGGATCTCCCTCCTGGCAGCCACTGGCACTCAATACTTGTAGATTACATGCATGTGTACACATACACGCAAACACATATACACAAATATCAACCACGCAATAAAAAATTAGGGGAATTTACACTGAACTGGTAAGAAATCTCTCTGGTGTGTGTTAATATCTATTGGCATTGGCACACTTATGGCCAACTTGTTGGTTCATGAGATGACTGTCTGCCAGAGAAGTGCTCACCACGAAAGCTTAGAAAGCCAGGGTTGGTCATTCAGACCCCACATAAAGGTAGTGGGCGAGAACAGATTCCACGTAGAACACTTTGGCACACATGCCTGCATGAACACATCTCGAACAGATATAAACACAGTAACAATAAATAAAAATTTAAAAGTAACATATTGAATGTCAACTTGACAGGCTGTAGTAAGAGACTAACTGTACCTGCTAGTCTCTGGCTGTGCCTATGAAGCATTATTTAGATTAGGTTATTAAGATGGGAAGATCCACCTGAGAAGTGAGCAACACCATTTCCTGGTTGGGGTCCTGGACTGAGTAACAGGATGGTGTCTAGATGAGCAACAGCATTCAAGGTTGACTGCAGATACAGTGTGACCCGCTGTCTCTCTGCTTTAATGACTTCCCTGCCTTGATAGCCTGTAACAACCATACTCTGTAAGCCAGAATGACCCTATCATCCTTCAGTCATGTTTGTCAGGATACTTGAAGGAAGTCCCAGGGACACACTAGCAAGTCTACTGAATCTAGGTGCTGTCCACAAGCATGGACACTATGCCATTCTTTAAATTTTTCATTAAAAAAACAAATAAAAAACTCACACAGGAAATGAAATAAGACAAGACTAGAAAGTACAGGATGAAGATTAGCTTTCAGGTATCCATTGAGTATGTGCCTGCTGACTCACAACGATGCCTTTCTTATTGTGGGCCAAGGTGCTTGGCTTCAAAATACTGCTTAACACATACTCCCTGCTCCCAGCACAGTGGATGGGGGGTGGTAGCAGTGTCCTCTGGTACCAATGTGTTCACAGAAGATTGCAAGGAAGATGGCAAACTGTCCGGTCTGCCTGGGACTGTCCTGGACAAAGCAGAGCAGCTGGCCCCCTGAATGTGTCAGGAGCCCTCAGGACCTGAACTTTGATGAACTGGGAGTGTGGGATGCACGGGGCCGCAACACTGCAAGTATGAGCAAAGGGATCAAGGCCAGAGTATAAAAAACTGGACTGGGATGACAGAATTTTCTATAAGAGCCACAAAGCCACATGGCAAAGTGTCCTTAATGGGCAACCTCTCTGATATTCACCTAATATGGAAAACAAAGGACAAAGGAACTTACTGTAAAAACGTCATCATCTCCGAGCTCAGCTTCGTTATGAATGGTGGAAGATGAGGTTGTTGAGCCTAAAAATACAAGAATGTAATCAAATCAATCAAGTTGTGGATAATTGACTTCAATTACTTAAAACATGTTAGGTGTGGTGGCAGGTTTTTTTCTCCCTTTCCTTTGGCGCTGAGGACTGAACCCAGGACTTGACACATGCCAGGCAGGTCACATCTATATAGCCCTGAGTCACAGGCTCAGCCCTTAAAAGCATACTTTGTCTCTCTTCCTTTATTTTGGCAGTACTAGGGATTGACCCTAGGCCTCATGTACACCTCCCATTCTTTCAGTATACTGACCATAGCATAGAATCTCATGGGAATTCAGTATTTTAATTCATTCCCCTTGGCTCTAGCCATGATGCTCCCTAAACTGACTTTGCCTGCTGTGGTTCCATTATTTCAGTTTTTGCACTAGGGGGAGCCGAGGGGGAGGTGCAGGGAGCCTTTCTACTCTGAAAGGCTAGCCCTCAGGCCCAGGCTCTCAGTGACCTCAAGGTCCCAGCAGAGTAGGGAAATGCCAAAGATCTATGAATTAGACCTACCCAGCCCCAAAGAAGGTGGCCCCTGCCCCACCCCAATTCTGAATTCAGACCCAGCAATCCCTGGCCACACTACAGTTGCTGTGTTGTAAGCAGACACTACTAGAGCCCCAGCGACTTGGCTCTGCTTTCCAGGTAAAAATAAAGCTTTCTGATAGAAAATCCAGCCAACCCATCATGAGATGATTTGGAGATTCAAGTTCAATTTTCTTGTTCACTTTTTTATCCAGTCTGCAAATCAGTGCAGCAAACCTACTTCTTCCACCAACAGCAGCCAGGAGTGTGGGGGTCAAGTCAATAGATTTACCCAAAGAAAAACAGTCTTTACTCCACCATGTGGATCCCAGGAATCAAACTCAGGTTGTCAGGCTTAGGGCAAGTGCTCTCTGAACCATCTCCCTAGCTCAAACCTCACTTTTTAAAGCAAATGAGTCAGATTCTTTGGTGATCATTTCTTCCAATCCTGACTTTGGGGTCACCATGCCTCAGGGTCTCAGTACCTTAAATACTGATTTGTAACTGAATTGTCCAGAGTGGAGAAGTTGAATGTTAGTGGCCTAAGGCTTTTCCAGGCTGAGGTCATGCGGCACTGCCTGCACCACAGCCCTTTCTTTCTATTTGTAGCAGATTCACTGTGTTGTCTCCGAATAATAGTTAAAAACAGGCTGAATTACCATTTCATGACATCAGCGTCTCACTATCTCCCAAAACTATTTTAACCTCTATGGCATGCGTTGCCTGCATGTTTGTATACTAACTGTGCATTTGGTGTCCTGCAAGTCCAGAAGAGGATCCCTTGAAACTGGAGTGACAGATGGATGTGAACTATTACATGGGTGCTGGAAATTGAACCCTGGTCCTCCAAACCACTGAGCTATCTGTCTAGGCCCATTTCACTATATTCTAATCACAGTCATAAATTCAGCAATAAAATGCTTTCTCTCTCAAAGTTATTTCTCCTGCATAAAATAATTCATTACTATTAGTAATGGCTGGAGGCTGTTGATAACTGTAAAAGTATTTCAAAAGCACTTTCTTTAAATTAAAAAAAAATCACCTGTTTGTGAGTGGGTCAGGCATGACTGAGCACAGTGATTGGATGTGGAGGTCAGAGGGTAGGTTATGGGAGTCCTGTCCCCCCACTGCAGGTTCCAGGGACATTCATATCCACCCCCTCCAAGTGATTTGACCAGCTGATGCAACTTTGGGACCCCAGTTTACACTTTTCTTTTTGTTTTTGAGATAAGACCTCTCTATGTAGTTCTGGTTCCTGGCTATGGGCAGGAACTTGCTATATAGACTAGACTGGCCTCAAACTCACAAAGCTCAAACTCACTAAGATCCTCCTGTTTCTCCCTCCTGGGTGTTGGGATTAAAGGTGAGTGCCACAACATCTAGCGCTTTATATATTTAAATTTTTTAAATATTAACTTGAAATAGTATTAGAATACTATTGTTCTTAAAAATAAAGCAAAAAGAAAAAAGGGATCCTATTGTTTATATGCATTTGTGTACAAGAAAAGTATTTCATTCTTGCTGTGTAAAGTTCCAGCTTGTTAACCTATGTTTCAAATTAAATATGTAGCTTAGTTTCTTCTTCTTTTCTTTTCCTTTCTTTTTTTTTTCTTTTCAAGACAGGGTTTCTCTTAACAGCCATGCTGTCCTGGATGGAACTCTCTTTATAGACCAGGCTAGCCTTGAACTCACAGAGATCCACCTGCCTCTGCCTCCCAAGTATGCCAGCACTGCCCAGCTGGACTTAGTTTCTTTTAAAATTAAAAAAAAATATATTACATTTATGAGTGTTTTGCATGCATGTAAGTCTGTATACCCCATGTGTGCAGTGCCTGTAGAGGCCAGAAGACGGCATTAGCTTCCTTGGAACTTGGGTTACTGGTGGTTATTAGACAACTTTTAGGTGCTGTAAGTGCTGAAAACCTAACCTGCATCCTGTGTAAGAGCAGCCACAGCTCCTACCCACCGAGTCATCGCTCCAGCTTCAGTTTATGCTTTGCTAATGGACCGTTCATGCCACACACTAGTTACTTACATTGAACAGTAAACACTCTGAAGAGCCATCATCCCTTTCGATGGTCAGCACCAGTGAAATGGGTGAACCCCACCCCACATGGAAACCCGGAGCAGCCTGCTTGCTGTTCCCCAGTACATTCTCAGCCATCTGGGCCACTCACTCCAAACCCCTCACCTTTCCCCTGTTCACCTCAGGTGTGCTGAAAGTTTAGACATCTCATGATCTTCTGACAGTCCCAAACCCTCTTACAAACAAGCCACGGATATAAGATGGCAGACTGTGGGACTGGAAAAGAATCTGGGATATCCCATAGTTCCTCTAAGGATGCAGTGACAAGTCCAGTACCTTCTATAAGGTCTTCAATGGCTTTTCTCACGCCCCTGTCAAAGGCTCGTGCATCCGCAGGGCTTTGGAAAGTAAGACCAAACTTCCTATTGTCAACCTTCCAATGATGAAACGTCGGATTGGCTTTGGTATAGACCAAGTCCTTTCTGACGTAGCATTCCAATACCACCTAAAGGATTGAAACACAGGCTGGTTACTTGTGGGACATCCATGACGATGTCTGTTGCAAGCCTAGCTGAGAACCATCATTGACAGCAACTAACAAAAGCACACCAGCCCCTGACCTTCATGTATGTAACCCTCCACCTGGAAGAAACAGTTGATTCCCACTGACCACTCATCTTTGCTGCTCCCTGCACATGGGCTCTGCTAAGCCCCACTGTCCTGGCTGTCTTCCCACATCACACGCTTCCTCTTCCTCCTGCTCCCAGAGTTGGGGCTTCTGTACTGTGGTCTCTTGCCTTCCCTCCTGGTCCCAATGGGTGTCTTCCTATGTCTGTGAACTTAACAAGTTGAGTAGGAATTAATCTCTCCCAACCCAACTTCCTCATATCTGGCAACCCTGGTCTGCTCATTTCTCTGGCTCAAAACTTCTGTGGCTATCTTTGCCTCCTGTTTCTCCGTCTTCCATTAGTCACCAGGTCCACTTCCTGTGTGCATGCTCCCCTCCCCCACTTCAGTTGCTGCAGTTCTAATTTGGTGGTGTTATTACTAACTGCATGTTAGAATTATTAGCATACTCTCCATGTTCCTGATGACTGAGTCTAAGGAATGGCTTTTGATCTTTACATCAAACCTAAGATGAAAACACCACCAATGTTAACAGCAAGAACAAACATGTGGTCTGAAAACACGGAGAAACTGAACAGTGTCATTGACTCCCCAGGATATCTCAAATTCTACTTGCTACATTCACAATTAATTCGGCACCTGAGTCAATATTCTCTAATAGGTTCTATGTATTAATTTTGTTCCCCTACTTAGATGGCAAGATACAGCATAACTCCCATTCTAATACAGCACTCTTTATGACAGACACCAATATTTATTTCACGTCATAGAAACTTTATAGTCAAGCTAATATCAACTTCATGTACTCATTAATAAAAATCCCAAACTATTTATTGGCTTTATTACAAACACCAAAGTGACTCTGCTAGGTTTTCACAGCTTTGACCTTGTTTGGCAAAGCCCTGCCATTAACACAATGTGAACTTGTTAATCTAGGGTAAATAATGGGCAAGAAGAAAGGTTTGCCTAAATTAGGGTACATCTAAATTAAAGAATAGTACAAATTTCAAGAATATGTCAAATCAATAAGAAATAAAATACTGCTTACTAACTCTCTAAATTAATAACAATAGTCAAATTGGCTTATTAATAGCAGCACTGAGTGTTAATTTTGTAAGACTGTATTGAGGACAACCCCCTAAAATCCTATTTATGATCAAATTGCTTATCATAGGTCATTTTCCCCTAAGAATAACACAATGACTAAATGCCAGCCCAGCTTCACTCCAAATTGGGAAAGTTCAAATAATCAAGGATTTAACTAACAAATGTCATCCATTTTAGAATCCAAAGGCTTCAATTCAAAGTCTCAAGTTACTATTATTGTTTTTTTCTTTGCCAAAAAAAAGAGACTCAATTTTCCCATATTTTTAGAATGGAAAAAAATTGGTCTTTGGCTATCACTGTTTAAAGTTTCTTTCTGGTAGCTTTGAACTCTCCATATATTTGAAGATGAGATTCCAAATCCTCCTGCACACTAGGTTTACAGGTTGTGTAACCATGCCTAGTTCAAGCCATGCCGGGGATGGAACCCACTCTGTGCATGCTAGGCAAGTACCCTACCCACTGAGGCCCGGCCCCAGCCTTGAGTTGGGTGATTTACATAAATGCCAGAAGGGCTCCAGTCTTGTTCTTCTCCCATTCCTTACCACAGTGTCCCTCGGACTTGTTTCCCACTGCCATGGCGGACATAGCCCTGGCCCCTTGTTCCCTCCTTACAAATGTACAGTTGTGTTTCAGCACATGTCTAGCAGGGTGGTGGTGGTGGTGGTGGTGGTGGTGCACACCTTTAATCCTAGCACTTAGGAGGTAGAGGCTGGTGGATCTCTGAGAGTTCGAGGCCAGGTGGGCCTACAAAGTAAGTTCCAGGATAGCTAGGGCTGCATAGATAAACCCTGTCTCAAAAAAATAAAAAAAAATAAAAATTTCTTAGGGAGTGTATATAACATGACTAAGGCCCTGGATTTGATTTTTAGCACACACACACACACACACACACACACACACACACACACACACACACAGCGCCAGACACCCTCATCATTGTAGAGACGGAGTTAGTAACAGTTCTGCTCAGTGGCTGTGAGATGACTCCCCTGGATTTATTAACCAGGGTCCATACAAATGGCCCCTTTTACCAGCAACACTACCACTATACTGTTACACATAAAGTTCCCGGAGTTTAATCTGTGGGCTTCCGAGAGCCTCCTTAATTCTCCAGCCCCTTTCTTGTAGCCCTAAACAAGAGAGCACCACATTAGCATTTTTGCTATCTTTTCTCTATGTGGACATTTCCACAGGAAAGGGAGGGCAGTTACACTGCCGTGCACAGCATCAAAATGGCAGAATGGCAGCAGTGTGCTTCTTAAAGCCGTCATCAAGCACAGTGCCGGTTTTATTTACCCAGGAATGCCCTAAACCCTCTATTTTGTGGCTTAATTCGAAGTACACACAACTGGATCTCACACTGGCTTCTCTATATTCAGCCTTCGGTAGCAGGCTACTTTGGTAGGCAGCACCAGTGAAGAAAACTGGCTTGCAAAGATGCAGTCAGAATAGGGCGGGGGTTCCTAAACGACTGTCCCCATATTGGCTGGTATGACTGTCTCAACTGTGAGCTGGGCTGCTCAAAGGCTGATTAACTTTTTTCCTTTCCTTCATTTTTGGACAGGGTCTCTTATATAGCCCTTGGACTTGAAAAATAGCTGAGGCTGACCTCAAACTCCTGATCTCCCTGCCTCCAAGTCTCAAGTGCTGGGACTACAGGCAGGCACATGCCAGCAGGTGCAGCTCTCTCTGTGAATCATCATTTTAATTAAAAGATCAACCAATAGACCAGGCATAGCTAATTGGGTATTTGGCACAGATTTTCTTGAAGATGAGCAAACTGAGCTTGCTGACTCCAAGAAAATAACTGGAGTCTCCCATCCCTAAAAATAATAATAATTAAAACAAAAAACAAAACCCAACCGCCAAGTTAAAAAAGAAAAAAATCAGGGGTTTTGGACAGTTTACAAATAATTAAACACTTTTCTTTCTTTCTTTTTTTTTGGTTTTGAGACAGGGATTCTCTGTGGCTTTGGAGGCTGTCCTGGAACTTACTCTGTAGACCAGGCTGGCCTCAAACTCACAGAGATCCCTCCTGCCTCTGCGTCCCGAGTGCTGGGATTAAAGGCATGAGCCATCACTGATCAGCGACACTTTTCTTTTTGTTTTTTCCAATTATTTTTTAACTTTCTATGTATGGGTCTTTGGTCTGCATGTATGTCTGTGTACCATGTGAATGTCCAGTGTCTGTGGAGGCCAGAAGAGAAAGATCAGATCCCCTGGGGCTGGAGTTACAGATGGTGATGAACTGCCATGTGGGTTTTGGGAATCGAACCCAGGTCCTCTTTGCTGAGCCATTTATCTTCTGACTTTCATTTTTTGAAAAAGATTTTATTTATTTTTATGTGCACTGGTGTTTTGTCTACATGTATGTTGGTGCGAAGGTGCCAGACCCACTGGAAATGGAATTACAGACAGTTGTAAACCACCATGTGGGTTCTGGGAATTGAACCTGGGTCTTCTGGGAGAGCAGCTCTTAACTGCTGAGCCATCTCTCCAGCCCTGTCCTCTGACTTTCAAATATTCATTGTGTGTGTGCAAGAGTACACACACACAATGTCATTAAATAATGAGCAAGAGAGAGTAGGGGAGGAAGGTATGTATTGGGGATGTGGTAGCACATGACTGCAATCTAGCTCTAGGGAAGCTGATTCGTAAGGACTGCAAGTTCAAGGCCAGTAAGGGCTATGTAATTCGAGCCTGTATCAAAGAAGAAAGGGCGGGGGCTGTAACTCAATCCCCGTGCCTTCCCATCCACAAAGAATATAACACTAAAAGAAATCTTTTTCTATACTGTAGGATGAAATGTGTCACCATCCGGAAGACTGGCCTAAGCCCAGCAAACCCCACGTTCTCTAAGCAACCAATTCATGATGCTACAGAATCATGGAAAGAAAGTGTGGCTGGGATGTAGCTTAGTCTGAAGGAGGCCTTCCTATTTTCCACAAGCCCTGGGTCCCCAGCATCATACAAACCGACCATAGTGGCACATGCCTGTACTCTTGGGAGATAGAGGCAGGAGAATCAGAAGTTAAAGGTCATCTTCCACTAAATGTTCCAGCCTGAATCCCTGTCTTAAAATCCAAGCTCACTGGGCAATCGGGGCACACACCTTTAATCCCAGCACTTGGGAGGCCGAGCCAGGTGGATCTCTAGAACAGCCAGGGCTACAGAGAAAAACCCTGTCTCCAAAAAACAAAAACAAAACAAAACAAAACAAAAAAAAAAAAAAAAAAAAAAAGGAAGGAAGGAAGAAAGAAAGGAAGAAAATGTTACCAGTTATACAATCTAGGAAGAATTTCTACGATTATAAGAAAGGGGGCAGGTATGGAGGCACAGACCTATAATCCCAACACACTTTCTTCTTAATCCCAGTATTTGGGTGGTGGATGGAGGATGATCAAACATGGGTTTGAGGTCAGCTTAGACTATATCATGAGTTTCAGGCCAGTCAGGGATGAAAGTTTTAGTTTATATATAATTTTTCAGGATAAATTGATTTTCCCTATTACCAAAAATTCTCTGACAATTTATGAATGGGTATAAGCAGAAGCAAAGTCAGTTAAACTCACAGGCTCCAATACACACACACACACACACACACACACACACACACACACGTTCTAGAACCTTGGAACAACTCCCCATAGACTCCTATGAAAAGGAGCACTTCATGCCCAGCTGAAATATGGGAAACTAGGCCTCCATCCCCTCACCTTTAAAGGGGCTTCCTTCAACCCGACCCCTTTCAGAGCTCCTCCAGAGGCTCATGGGCTCCAGTGGGCAGGAGCATTGCCTTAAGGAGCACGGAGGTCAAAGAGATGCCACGGTATCTGCAAAGGGTGTGGGACTCCCATTCAGGAATCCAGATTTTCTGGAGTGAAACCGGCAAAAGGCAGGTTGGAAAACTAAAGCAGAACCGCATACAGGTGTGGAATTTAAACGCCACCAGGTACAGAAGTGTAGAGAACTGTAGAGTCGTAGCAAAGGGAGCAGAAAGAGGGATGGAGACATGGAGAAACTGAGGGTGAGCCAAAAAGTAAACCTGGAAGATGGCATCACCCTGATCCTCAGAAGCCAACAGAGGCTGGCCCACAATTCCATGGGAGGTAGACATAGAGAACATGGCCCATGCTGGACTCAGGAAGCAATGCACTACATTAAAACATGGAGACGGTTTCTTCCCCTTTGGGCGTGACATGAATATAACAGAGGTTGTTATTCATGTCAGGTCATGGGACAAAAAGGAAAACATTTGTAGTTACTATGTGTAAGTTATTGGGAAGACACAAGTTCATAATGCAGTTTGAAAGGAAGGGGCTGGGTTAGACGGCCTCGACTGGCTATTTTAAAACTGGGTGTGGTGGCACATGCCTGTAATCCCAGCATTTAGGAGTAGACAGAGGATTAGGAGTTCAAGGTCATCCTTAGCTACAAAGCCAGTTTGGGCTACGGAAGAGCATATCTCAAAAAGTCAGAAATGGAGACTGTTCCAGCTTGACAATCTACAACAAATCAGAGAAAAACCAGGAGAAATAGCCCTAAGTATACAGAACCCTTCAGGAGAAGACAGACTAGAAAGAATTTCTAGTGAAATTCTGAAGAATAAAAATGTAAAAGTGGAAAAGGCAAGAAACAAATTATTAAAATCTATTATCAGTAATAAGTCAAGGTAAAGTCAAATACCTTATAACACCAGGGCAGGACACATACAAAGAGTAAAGTTCCAGTAAACAAATATGCAAAGGACACTGACAGATAATTCAGTCATGATGAAGAAGAATAAAAACACTTATTTTTTGTGTGTGCATGTATGGGAGGGCATGTGCCCTGAAGCACACATGGAGGTCAGAGGACCATCTACAACAATCTCTTTTCTCCTACTACGTGAGTTCCAGGGATTGAACTCAGGCCATGTGCTTGGTTGCCTGTGCCCTCATACACTGGGCCATCTGGCTGGCTGACTAACAATTAACAGTTTTTTAACAAGCAGGAAACCCTATAAGGTCATTCATAAGTGACAGACAGAGACCACTGTTATTCTATCAAATGACAGAGATTTAAAACATATGACCTCAAAATGTTAACGGAAAATCTCACACAGCAGTAGCAGCACCCATGTGAAAAATCATGTTCCAAATTAGCGCTCTCTCTCTCTCTCTCTCTCTCTCTCTCTCTCTCTCTCTCTCTCTCTCCTTTTTGGTTTTTCAAGACAAGAGTGTCTCTGAGTAGGCCTGGTTGTCCTGGAACTCACTTTGTAGACCAGGCTAGCCTTAAACTCAGAACACAGATGGTCAGCCTATCTCTGCCTCTCAAATGCTGGGATTAAAGGCATGCACCACCAATGCCCGGCTCCAAATTATTTCTTAAAAAGCAAAAAACATGAAATGTGGAAAATGCAGTTAAATGTGTCTTCATAATACTATGGTGATGGGGGGGTACATTCTAAGGAGATGGTCTAACAACGGAACATCACATTAGTGTGAACAACTGGAAAGTTCTTAAAGAGAATGTAGGTGACAAATGAGTGAAATACAAAGCTCTTTACAAACTGACAAAAATTGTGTGGAAATGAAAACGCACAGCTGTGCATTGTGACTGCATTGGTTTGGGGATTTGTGTAATGCTGTATTAAATATGGTCCCCAAGAACAAGAAATCATTCCCTGAGCATCACCCAACTAATGGGCTAACCCTGTGCTTAGCTGGGGGTACATGACAGGCACATGGTAGCCAAGCCACCTTTTTCTAAGACACCATTACAATATGTTAAAGAATCAGTGTGTGTGTGTGTGTGTGTGTGTGTGTGTGTGTGTGTGTGTGTGTGCTCGCATGTGTGTTTGAGACAGGGGCTCACTACCTAGACTGGCCTGGAGCTTGCTGTGTAGATCAGGCTGGCCTTGAACTTACAGAGATCTGCCTGTGCCTGTCTTAGCCTCCCAAGTGCTAGGATTAAAGGTGTGTACCACCATACCTGGCCATTTCATTTTCTTTATAGTGTGGTCCAACTGCCGGCACAGAGAGAATTTTGAAGAGTGAACTAAGTATAAAGTAGCATTTCAGTTAATCTGTGATATTTACAAACTATTCTGTCTTACCTATTTGGTAATTTTCTTCAACCACAAGAAGTGGTTGGGGAAAAAAGAGCATATCTACACATTTCACACATGAAACCTTCCCAGGCTCTCAAATGTAACACCAACATAGTGAGGAGCCATGTGCATTTCCTCTGGGAGATCTTATATATTCAAAATCTAGAGTGACTGAAAATGTGATGGACTGTTTATATAGTGGAATAAACAGATTGTAAAACGGTGGAAAGTAAACCATGTTGAGAGTAGTCTGTCTGAAGAAGACTTAGGACTGGGGACACATAGCTCTCTGCCGAGAAAGTGCTGGCCCAGGATGTGCAAGGCTCTGGGTTCAAGTCTCAGCAAGAATAGGAAGGAAGGTGAGAGAGACTAGCTTGGGCTGGGGGGTGGAGTTCAATGCTAAAGCAGATGCCCACCATGCACAAAGTCCTAGGTTTGAGCTCTGGCACCTTGCCCCACCCCAAAAAAGAATAAACTGGACTTGGATGGTTTATCTTCCGCCCTATCATAAACCGTTGTGTAACTGGCCATCAAAGTTCCTCCATGAGACTGTATATTATCCCACAATTGGGATAAGGCTCTCTTTCCCATGTATTTGTTTCCTAGCACACACAATTTCTTATAGAAGTGCCATGCTAATGTTCTTCGTGCTTTTCTTTTACCAAAGATGCTTTACTAATTACTTATGAAATAAAAGCTGGGTGTGTTTGTGTGGTGTATATGCACCTTTTGTTAGTGGAGGCTGAAGAAAGATATCAGGCACCCTGCTTTCCCAACCTTCATCTTATTCCTGAGACGAGGTGCCTCAGTGAACCTGGAGCTAAGGCTGGGTCAGTAATCCCTGGTGATCTACAGTGCTGGGTGACAGGCCTGCAAGGCCACCATATTTTTATTTGGGTACTGGGATCCAACCTCAGGTTTTCATGCTTACACGGCAAATACTTGTACACTCTGGGCCATCTTCCCAGCCCCTAGCTCTGGAATCTTTCAGACAAACAATTATTTATAAGGAACCAATGCTAGGTGATGCCTTCTCACTCCTTACCTTCTCCCACCCAAATCTCACATGGAAAACCCTGATTCCAAGTTTGTCGCTACATGACTTGTCAAAGAACATGCTTTTGCTTTTAATACCCGTTAAAATGGCACACCTTGATTAATCAAAGATGCAAACAAAATGGTCAAATACCCTTATTACATGCACTCTATACGATGTGTGGCCAAGAGACTGCGCTGAAAATGGGAGGTTATATTAGAAATATCAAAGGGCAAAGGGCTGTAACTTATGTGCAGAAATCAGTCATTGTTACTTTAACTACTAAGATGTGTGTCTGTCATTACCAGTTTGTCTTTCTGTCGTTCACCATGGATGAGAAAGCCGCTTCGTCCATTGCCTTCAGGGTGCATGACCTTACACACCCCAACGCGACTGATCCCGCCTCCTTCCTGTGGGAACCATCCCCCGCTGGAGTCATCTCTGGTCATAACCACAGCCTTGACACGCACAATATAGCTGTCACTAAAACGACAACAAGAAGGGGCATGACAACAGTCTAGTAGCTGCAGAACATGCTTTCTGGGGCAAGACACTTCTGATTTGTCTGCAGATACGGCTGACAATAACCTTAAATGGGAGCCCATCTTGACATTTAGGAAAAACAACATGTAATGCAATATAGAAGTCATCTTAAAAGAGACACCCACTAATCATCACATTTCACTAGTGAATCTCTGAAGATACACACGGGCACAACAATCTCCAGTTTCTGCGTGCTAAGTATTATTGAATGAATAAGCTAATCTCTAGAACTGGACATCTATCTGACTTGGAAAGTCAAGCCTATTAACTTCAAAGGGATGTTACAACCTTAATTTTTTAAACTTAGTTTATAATAAATGACCAAGCTTTAACATTTTATGAATTTAAGAATCCTATTTAGCAAGCAATATAATAATCCACTTCTAAATTACATGGTCACAATTCCATGCACCACTTATATAGGTGTGAAGACTTTAACTCACCTCTACACACTTACAGCCTTTGCTTATAATTTCCTTTTTTTCAGTCTAAATACATGATTTTGCCCTAAGCCCTACTATCCTATTACCTAAAATCCTTTTCCCTATCCCATTAGAACACATATTCCCATCTTGTATATACCAGGCATGGTGCCAGAATTGGGGGAAGCAGTGACATAAAATGGGGAGCCAAGGAGGACTGTGTGCCACCTCAGCACTCAGGGACAGATTCCACAATCTCAGAGACATCCTGTCCTGCCCCGGCCCCCTCCATCTCTGTTCACCTCTCACCCACTTTCTGTGATCTGCTGCTGTGACTTCACTGCCTTCCCACACTCAGGCAACATCTTGTCCCACACAAAAATCTCTTTGCTTTCTTCACCTAGACTCAGTGGAAGGTGCCAGTGGAGGATCTCTCAGGCAAACACACCCCCTGCCCTGGTCTAAGAGAGATGTGTGCATCACTAAACCATTCCCTACCTGCCTTCAGTTTTCTTCAACTCTAGGTTCCACCCCCCAATTCCATGAAGACTTTACCAGACCGGCAAACTGCCCCATCCCTCTGCACAAAACCTAGTGTGTCACCAGTGGCCCTGAGGATTTTTCTGATACCTGTGCATCTTGTTTCCGGGACTCTTCTCTTTCCATGTCTTTGTACCTGACCAAGGCTACCCATGCACCAAGTCAATCCCTGAGATTACCACCAATAAGGGCACTTCCTCCAAACCTCATTTTTTTTTTTCCTTTTGGATAGTCTCATGAAGACTAGGTTGGCCTCAGACTTACTCCATAGATAAGGCTATTTCTCCTTTTTCCAAATCCTCAATTACATACAGGTGTGAGCCATCACCAACATATAATTGTAAGCACCTTACTCTTCAGCCATCACAGGTTCCTCCTCTAGGTTCTAGTGCTCTTCTCTTTACTAGGGCCAGGGGTCTGACTACCTCTTCACACCCTGCTCTCTGCTCCATTCTCTACCTCTCTACCGAACTGTTAGGGCTGCTGCAATAGGTCACAAGGAAACTTTGTTCACAGAGCTTGTTCTTTTTCTGTTGTTGTTTTTTGAGACAGCGTTTCTCTGTGGCTTTGGAGGCTGTCTTGGAACTTGCTCTTGTAGACCAGGATGGTCTCGAACTCACAGATATCCGCCTGCCTCTGCCTCTGCCTCTGGAGTGCTGGGATTAAAGGTGTGCACCACCACTGCCGGCCACAGCGCTTATTCTAAGCCACAGCCACTGACCATACATGGGACATTCTGCTACATCTGCCCTCTGCCCAAAATGCCTTTGGACAGCCTCCTGCCTCCTTGCTCTGAGGTGATCAATGTGCTTGTTTCGTTGGGAAAACCAACAGCAGCAGAGACCTGCCCTCATGCCCTCATGTCTGCACAGCCTCTCCTGTCACACTAGATGAACCACGCCCCATTCCTCCACCTCAACATTCCTCTATGGCAACAATACCCATCTTCACACTTCTACCTGGCCTCCTACCAAGATCCAGACCAATGACAACAGTGGATGATGACATGTCTCTGCTTAGATGTCTAAGCCATCTCAAGCAACACAGATGGAACTCTTCCTTCTCACCCTTTTGGGGTTCTCCCTCCTTAGGGCCAGATACCCCCTTTATTACCCCATTGTTTATATGCTGACCCTACTGGTCATCCCTTGCCCTGAGGCTATTGTAGTGGTACCCTAATTGGCATCCTATGTACATACTGGTCCACCTTCCCTTCAAACAGAAAAGGTTAGTCAGATTGCATTATGTGTCCTAACAGCTCAAACCCTGCCTTATTCTACTGTTGACCTCCTCAATGCCACTCCCATCCCAATGGCCTCCTTGCTGGTCCTCCACAATTGCAGTACCCATTTCTTATCTCATTTCTCACCTTTCTCTCCACGCATCATGTACATTCTATTTCATGTGTCTCTGCACAATGTATTCCATCAGAGAGTACTTTCCTGACATCTATATAAGCAGCCTCCTACTCCCCCAAATATATTTACATTGCTGGCTCTGTAACCTATCTGCCCACCAGGATAAAACGCCCGTAACAGTGGGGGCTTGGCTGTGTTTGTTAACCACTGCATCTCTAGGACCTACAATGGTACCTTGCTCATCAATAGGCTATAAGATCAATGGACTGAAAATGTAATATGAATAGGTTTTTCTTTTTAAAAATTGAAACTAACAAAGTCCCTGTATCAACACTCATTTGCTTAACCACAACAGCTTAACTAAGATATGGTAATAGATGTTTTTAGGGAGTACTGCTGGGAACTGAATGCAAAGCTCTGTGTATGACAGGCAACTGCTCAGCTACCGGGCTGTATGCCACTCCTTTTCTCATTTAAGTGTGTGTGTGTGTGTGTGTGTGTGTGTGTGTGTGTGTGTGTGTGTGTGCCTGTGTGCACGTGTGAAGGTCCAAGGACAGTTTGTGGGAGTTGGTTCTTTCCTTCCACCAGGTGGGTCCTAGCAATCAAACTCAAGGTTGTGGCAAGAACCTTTCTTTACCTCTAGTGACTTCGGTGACCCATCTAGTCCTTTGTGTCATTTTTATTTTGAGACAGGGTCTCACTAGGTTGGCTGGGGTGGCCTTGAACTTGTCATTCTCCATCTTAAAAGCAAGGCCATGAGGTATCACATCACACCATAAACAGAAACACAAGCTTTCCCAGGTGATACAACAGCTGGAATCCTCTCAATGGTCTGGGATTGCAGGCATGAGTTACCAGTACTGGCAACTGAGACTTCCGTTTCCTTAACAGGAAAGCAGAAGGAAGCATCAGCGGTCACACATGAATATGTGCACGCAGATGGCACAGGTCACATCTCAGGGTTTAATGAGCCTGTTCTAGAGAGCCTCGAGATTGAGAACACTGGGCGTGGGCTGGTGAGGTGGCTCAGCAGGCAGAGGCACTTGTCACCAAGCCTGACAAGCAGAGTACCATATCCCAGATCCACGTGACGAAGGAGAGAGCTGACTCCCTCAAGGTGTCCCAATCTCCACACACGTACCATGACATGCCCCCCAAATAAACATAGTAGTTAACAACCATCATCATCCCCATCTTCATCCTCCTACTGGATACCACATCTTTTGATTATATGTATGTAAGCAATTCCGTAAACTATAGTAATTCCTGGGAGCTCTAATTTTCTGGCATGCAATACACTCTGTCAAATATTCTTCAAGGGGATAATGAGCTCAATGCCACAGGAAATGGCTGTGGTGGGAACTGAAGCTCTCCACACCTTGGATAAAACATAACTTTTACTTTCTGATGCTTCAGTTGTGTTTTCCTCAACTGAGGGGGGTTAAGCAGACATGAAAGGGAGAGACCTATAGTAAGTATGTTAGTGCCACTAACTCACTCCATGGAAGTATACATTTATTAGAGATAAAAAACAAAAACCCAGCCCTCAGCTCCCAGGCTACAAGGGATGGATGCTGATTGCGGCTTTTGCTTGTACCCTAGTCCTCTATCCTTCCAACTTGATTACTCCTAACAAGTGCCTTCCCAAGGCACAGTCCTTCTCCATGGGGGGAGGGGCGGGGCTTAAAACCAGACCAGGGCATGCACTGTTGTCTGGGTATCCAGCTGTATGGCCACAAGCCAACTGCTTCCTACCTTCGGCCCACTGAAGTTCCTCGGGCACTTCACCCTGCCCAGTACCGAGGAAAACTCCCTGCTCTCTCTTTCCCTGCTTTGTAAGGCTAATTAGACACCTGAAGGTGTGGGGTTTATTTAAGAGTGTGCAACAGGAAGCCGGGAGGACAGGTTCATTTAAAAATTTTCACACATACAAAAAAAATTCTAAAACTGGCACATGGTATGCCTTAGAAATATTTTTAAATCATGCTACCACCATCCAAAACAAACAAACAAACAACCCCTCCCCCCAAAAAACTTCTGAAACTATCAATTATTGCAGCATGTGCAAGAAAAGACTTTTAAACTTTAGATGTGGCCCTGAATAAAAGCCAGATCAGAAAGTGAGTTTAAGAGCCCAAGCAGCCAGTGTCATTACCAATGACACTGAGCCAAACTAGCCAGACAGGGGACCTTTCCATTTAAATGTGGTTTCTTAGGAAAAAAAGCCTTACTATCCCAACATGCTGACTAGTTTGTCCTACAACCACTCAAAATGAAAAGGAGGCAAGTGACAACCTATGGCAGGATTGGAATGCAAAGAAAGTAATTTCAAAATGGCCGTGATGTTTTTATTCAGATTTGGGGCAGGCCTCGTTACAGAAGTAAACAAAGGAACTGTAGGAGGCTGCTCCTTGTCCTGTGGAGGATGTTGCTCTTGGGCCAGGCTGGTCAGCTCTGGTGAACCTCCTCAGTTGCTGAGAACGTAACTTTGAGTTTCATTTTCTTTACAAAAGGAGGACACCATCCACCCTGCTGGTTAAAGGCTGCGATAAAGGCTGGATGTCAGAGCCACAGTTGTTAGGCTCACTGCTTTTGCTGGAAGGCTGGCTTTAATTGCAAA